TGGTTGAATTGGATCATTTTATGATATTTGAATTTTATTTGGGCTTTATTTAATTTTTCAGTATTTGGCAAATTCTGACACTGTTTTAGTTTCTGGACCATATCTTGAGTTTTAGAACACCTTTTATTGTGATTCTTGATTTGTAGGAAAGCTAAGAGAAAGGTGCACAATTCCTATAAGAGGTCAGAAACCAATTCTGATGATAAGAAGCTGAAACTGGGCTTGGAAAAAGTCAGAACGCTGCAGTCATGGATCCTGAGTAAAGTGCAGTATTTGGGCCATATCTCAGTCAACAGACATCCAATTAAGCCCATTCTAGTGGCGTTTTGAAGCTGACATCCAACGCTACAATTGTCCTTCAGGCCACGAACCAAAAAGAGGCCGTTTTCATAGCCAAAAAAATGGAACAAAGTGACGAACAAAATTTTGAATTTTATTTTTTGGCTCTTCTCTTCTCTTCTCTCTCTTGCTCCCTCTCACCTTTATGAATTGTGTTCCTCCATTAATGGAGGCTTAGATTTTCATCTAATTCAAGGATTAAAAGGAACGTGATACTCTTGAGGATTGGTCTCGCATTGGCATAAATTCAATAACAAATTCGGTTTCATCTCTTCCTTATTTTCTCCTTTTGCTAATTATATTTTCTAATTAAAGTTATTCGTTTAGATTGATGATTATGCATCTGGTTGATTACGTATTATTCGATTGATGTATGTAATTCAGTTTTAAGGAACGTGAATTAGATTTTCAGGTTTGAGATCTAAGATTAATGACATTGGTGAATTAAATTAACACAAATCGATTAGGTTCTAGAGGTTTCTGAACTTTGAGCGAATTGTATGTTAATCGAATGCATGAGAATTCTCGTGTGAATGCTTAATTTGAATTGAGATTTCATTCAAATTTAATGTTAATCACTAATTTGTTGTTTGATGCATCTTCTTGGAATCTGGTGATAAAGTGGTCGTAGTTCTTCTAAATTCTTGGATTAGAGTTTTTAATTATTTTTAACTTTTGATTCTAATTAGTTATTCTATAAATCAAACCCCCTCTAAAAATTTTATAATTGTATAACGTTATCATCGTTGGGAGACGACTCATATTGCACCTCTTACTACATAATTTTTATGCAATTCAGTTTTTATTAATTTGTCCAAGAGCGACACTCGCAATCAGTTATTCATCAAGAGAATTCATGGTTGGATGAGAAGTTGGATAGGAGTGTGGGTGTAGGTTTGCACACTCTTTTTTGGAGAAATAAGTGGGTAAGCGGAGTGCGATTGTGAGGCATTTCCATGATTATTTGCGGTGGTGAGAAATATTAAATCTTGTGTTTTGGAGAATGATTTTTATGATGACACTAGGTGAGTTTGGAATATTAGTTGGCGAAGAGAGTTCTTTCAACATGAGATTTCAAGTTTTAATATTTTATTAGAGCTTGTGGATGAAGTTTCTATTAAGGTGTTACAAAAAGATAAATGGGTATGGAGGGTAGATTTTTCAAATTGTTATTAAGTGCAATATGGGTATTCATGACTATTTAAACTTTTTGGTGGTCCTAATAGTGTAGATTAATGTATTTGATGATTCGTATTTTGTACTCACATTTATAGCCTTATGATATATTCTAAAATACCTTTTCTCTCTTTATTTATTGCATTTAGCATAATTTTGCATTTCTTGCATTAAATTGTCATGAATACTTGTTATCTTTACTTTATATTTTGTATTTTCTCTATTTTGACATTTGTCTACTATTTCGGTCATAGCTTTTTCTGTAGCCCTCCTTTATGGATGATTCTTTTTGCAATGGATTCCTGACTTTTTGGGCTTCTATTTAAACATATGGATCATGCTGCTTGTTGTTCGGAGCTATTTTCTATTAATTTTTAAAGTTTAGACTTAAAACATACATTTTATATTTAAGGTTTCTACTTAAGGCTTTTATTTTATTTTTCATGGAGGCCTTGACCCATTTATTTTTGTTTTCTTTGAAGATCAGTATTTATAGGGGTTAGAGGTCGACTTTCAGGGACCTAGTGATTTTTTTAGTTTTAATTTCTGTTTCATAATTTCATTGGAGAATTTTATATTTCCGTAAGGACTTTCTTTCCCATTTTTTAGAGTAAAATTTATTTTGTTCCATTCGCTTGCTTGCATCTCTTCGGATCCTGCTATGTTCTCAATTATTTGTTGTCACGAAACATCTCATCTCAAGCATAGATTGCTAGATCGGTTGAGCGCTCCGAGTTTGTATTTTCACCTTTTTGCAATTCTTGATTAAGATTTGTACATGCATAATTTGATTAAATTTAGTTTTTATTCTTAAATGTAATATCGATCAATTGGTTTCTATTGCATTTGAGTTTTAGACAAATTCGGTATGGTAATCCTAGTTTGCGTCTTTGGTTCGTGGGTTTAATTCGTGTTAGTTTTAATTGTTCTTGTTTTCAATTTTCATTTTTTTTATTTTCGTTTGTTTTCATCTTAATTGATCTTGTTTTCAAATCCTTCTTATTATTCAATTTGTGTTTTCAATTTTTTTTAGATTCTCTTTAAAATTTTAAATTCAAATTTGTTTTCAGATTTATTTTTAGATTCGGTTTTCAAATTTTGAATTCATTTTCATTGTCAGATTTAGTTTTAGATTCATTTTCAAATTTTAAATTTGCGTTCAGTGTTTTGATTCGCTTTCATTTAAATTACTTTCATTTTTAATTCATCTGTAAATTACAAACCCCTAATTTAATCATCGTTGCATGTTTAAAAATTGAAATAGAATGAATTTGTGTCCTTGTGTGGTGACCTAGGTTTGCTCCTTATATTGCATGTTTATTTGAAAAATCTAGTTTTGTTTGAAACCATTATGACGTGTTGTCAATATGGCGGACGCCTTGCAAAGGCTATGGAGAGAAAAGATCCCTATTTAAGTGTCTAGTATTTTCTTGGCAATTGTTGTTGAATGTACTTCTTTGTAAATGTTTGCTGATTGATTATGGTATTCAGATTAATGATATAACTTTTTGCTTAAGTCATAGTCATTTGTTTTTAACATACTCAGTTTCATCTCAAATTTAGTACTATATTGCTCGTTGGCTTAGATTCTCACTAGTTTTTCCTTCAAATTTATTGACTCACTTGCTTTCTTGGGTTGGTGTTGGTTGTAGTAAAAGAAAAGAGAGATGTTTATTAAATATTTAGGTAAATACAATGTAATCTTTGTGGTTACATAGAAATAAAATAATATTTTTCAATAATATTTTGGATGAGAGAGAAGTTCTAGACTTTATTATTTTGAGGTCTTGAAAATGACTATCACTTTTTAGTAAAAGAGAAATTATTTTGTTAACTGATTAGTATCTGAACCCACGAAATTGCATCTGTCTTAACTTTGTATAAGTATGTTTCTATTTTTTATTTTTTTGAGTAAGTATTATTATTTTTTTTTGTATATGGATTTTGAGTTCCCCTTGAACTCTCTTTAATAATATATGTTTTGCCTATAAAAAAATATAATTTTTTGTTGAATATATATTAGTTGTTGTTATTTGGTGGGTTAAAATTCAATTATTTTTTGGCTTTAACATGAAGGAAAGGAAGAATATTTTTTTTCCTATTATTTTGGGCACTATCATTTGCTAGTTAGGAGAAAATATTTCTCTTATGGTACTTGATAAATGACCAATAAAGAGAACTTCAATCAATAAATTTAGGAGTTTTTTAATGTGCTTTAACCATTTGTAATATCATTTACTAATAGCAACATTTCTTACGATTTTTAGTTTTATTTATTTTTCTTTGTTGTAAGAATTAAGTGCATGTACTCAAGAAAAAATACCATAAGGTATTTGAATATTTGGATTATAAGTAAAGTTTATCATCCATCATTTTATTATTCACTCATTTTTTTATTGGATATATAGTAGTCGTAGTTGTTTGTAAATATAAGTTGTAAGTTAAATTTCATTTATTTTGATCCTTATGCTTATTTGCATAACTTGTTATAATAATTTGGTATCGAAGCACTTAAAGTTTTAAAAAAAATATTGCAATTGCAAATTTTTATATTTAATAATTTGTTGATCCAAATTGCATTAAATTTAAAATGTAGAAGTGTAACAAAATTTAAAGGTAGCAATTTCAAGAAAAGAAAGAAAAACTTGCTACAATAATTTTTGTTTTGTTTTGTTTTCTATCCGATATAATCCAGATCATCCTGGTCGCGTATCTGAATATGGTGAGTGAGTCTACTGTTGAAATTTTTTTGCATATACAAAGAGTCGAATGCAAAATTTTACTTAAACGATACCAAGTTACTTGCTACTTAGACTAATAAAGTTGGTCTACAATATTTATTTTAATTCTAAATAACTCAAGACATGATATGAAAAGATCCCAATTGAAATATTATATGAAAAAAGTTGTATAATTATCTAGTATTAAGTTTTATTTATTTAATATAATACTCATAAATAATTTAATATTCACTTTATACAATGTGGTATAAGATATATCAATTATTAAGAGATAATATATAAAATTAGTTATATTTTTATTAGATTGTAAATATATTATTTATACGAATATATTTTATTAACGAGAGACATGTTTAAAGTTATTTATTGAAAATTTGAGAATTACAGCGTTAAAAATTAAGAAAAAAAAAGTAAATTTGACATAGAAAAAATGTGTTTCACATTAAAAAAAATGGAAAAGAAAATATAAAATAGTTTTAAAATCAAATATATCCTTATTTTCCGAATTATAAAAAGCTCGGTTGCATTAATAACCATCCAATTTTGCGCGCGATTAATAATTCCGACTTAAGTTACTCGTATGGGGTCCACATGCAAACTTCAAAATTAAACTGAATCCCACCTTAACTGTTATTAATTTTCACTTTTTGTTCCTTTCTTCTCCAATACTACTTATTTTATTATTACTACTAATTAATTTAATAATTTTCCTTTCCCTCCCTTTCCCCTTTTTTCCTCAAATAAACAAAAACTCAGACAGCAATACAATCAAAACAACTTCGATGCTTCCTTTTCCTCCTCAAATAATTGTTTTCCACTTCAAAATCCAAAACACCCCGCCACCACCACCACCATGCCCCTCGATCCCGCCACCGCCACAACCACCGCATCAAGGCCCATATCACCACTCCCTCAACCCCACCCACACCACCATTACCCTTCACCTCAACAACAACAAACCCTTCCAAGTCGCGCCCCAAATCCTCCATTAGCCAAACCCCACGATCCTTCCCAACCCTTCGCTTACCCTTTCGCCGCCTTCGCCCCCAAAGGCCTCAGAGATCATGGCGTTGCCGCCGGCTACCCCCCGCCGTCACTGATGTTTCCCCACGCCGGCGTTCGAGGCATGAACTTGGACTACCTCAGCCACGCCTTGCACGTGACTCGGCCACTCCCTCACGTGCCGTTCCCTCACTTGGGTAACAACGCTACTATTACCCCTGCAGCATCCCCTCCCGTTAAAAAGGTTCCAACTTTGAAACCCCCCTTTGGTGATTTTTTCGAAGCTTAAGAAAACGTGACATCTTGAATTTAATTGCTAAATAAATTAATATTATTATGCTTTTTCCTTGTTTGTTGTGAGGTTCTGAATCTTGTGTTGTTTGAATGATAGCACCGATTAGATTGGATGATATAGTTCAAATATTCAAATGTTTCATTTTGGTCTCTCGTTTTGTTGTTTTAGGCTACTCCTCGATCTGCAGTTTCCGATATCAACGGCTATAAAGACACGAGTGTGAGGTGAATTTTCAATGAGGTATTTATTGCGTTGTACTGTTTGGTAATGGAATTGGATTGATATCTCTGATGGATTTCATAGGGAAAGAAGCAGAGAGGACACATATGTTGTCGTTAGAGACCGCAAAGTGAGCCACTTTTTCTCTTATTTGACATTCTTTGCTTTGGAGTTGAATTCATTCATCTGCATTTAATTTGATGCTCTTCCTTTTTCGTATGTGTGTGTGTAAGTATGTTGTGTGGCTTTGAAGTCTCTCGATAGATTGCGTGCCTATTTGGTTTATCATTCAAAAATTATTTTTTGTACTTTCCAATGTAAACACAGGTTCCATTAAAATTCTATGGTTAAGATCAATTTTGACTCATCCCAATCATTTATAAGGGTTCAAAATTAATTCTATTAAAATCATTTCTACTTACATTTAAAACAAACAATGGGCCCTGCAAGTGCTTGTTTGAATTCTTCTTAGAACTCATTGGAATCTTCACAATGAGCTTATCTTCTGCCTACATTCTTATCTCCTACGGTGTATGCTTGGTATTTCTAATCTCCTAATCTTATTCTGACTTAGTGGGTTAGATGAGCTATGTAAAAAAATCTGAGTACCTTATGGGTCAATATTTTTACAATTCAACGGACTCAAAACCCATTTTGGGCCAGTTTGGCTCGCTGGTAAGCATCAAACATAAAATACGATAAAGAGTATATTCTACTCTTATATTATCTTGTTCTTACTTCTTTAATCAACTCTCATATTCTATCTTTTCCTATTCTATGATATCCACCAAATGGGTCCTAAGCATAGTTGATAATCTAGGATAGTGGTGCCAAGTTGTCAACCCCCAAAATGCTGTAGTTGCATAGCGGTAGAGCTGCTATACTGAAGATTGTGTGCGTGCAATAAAAAGTTTATACTGCACACTGTCAATGCTCAAAAAATAAAAAATACGCTCAACATTATCATCATTAATTGTCAAAAGTCAAGGTGAGGTAGTATAGACAAAAATCACCATAAATCCAAGGCATAATTGACAAGTCAATCATAACAAAAGTCAATGAGCATAAGGAGAACAGTACAGCATCAAATTCACAATACTTGGGCCATGAAGTGCAAAATAAATATGAAAAAACTGTATATAAAATAAAGTACACAAATTTTAGCATATTTGTGGCTTGTTATTGTCGAAAGAGATCATCACCAAACTTGCTACTGTTATCATTCATTGTTGCTGCTTGTTGTTTGTCGCTCACAAGTGAAAGCTGATGGTTGAGGTTTGAGATAGGAGGGGCTAAGCAATAGTATGCAGCCTGTGGATATGTGGAGGTTGGAGAAAGTACTGATATGTGGAAGTTGGAGGGAGGAAAGAGACAACTAAATCATATTTTTGGAGAAAAAAAACCTAAAACTCTAAAATTTTAATTAAAAAAATTTCATTTCCTGTACCTAAATCGTACTCGCGTACCCACTTTCCGTACCCAACTTGTTTTTTTTTTTGGGTACGTATCTGGTACGTACCCACGACATACCCATACCCGGTATGTACCTGGTACCACTACTCCATGGGAAGTGCCGTACCTATGCTTTAGAGAGTGCAAACTAGTGCTACTCAACACAAGATAAAGAAAAAACCCTGAACAGTGTCCAGGTCTCAAAACTACACAACACAGATCTGTGAGAACCTTGAGAACAGAGGCAGGGCAGGACCAAAATTGCTTTGAAGAGCACAGCATGTTGGTGGGCTGCCAGAAAATGGCTAAGCAACTTGACAATGAGGGAAAAGGTTTCTGAAATCTGGATTGCTTCAGGAAATCCTCAGCATGTTTAAATATACATGATTTACAATCTCTAACATCAGGAAACTAGGAAAGCAATACAAATCAAATCCTAATTATTTGTAGGATATATACATCCCCTAAATAGGAGATACTAACCCCAATCTAGCAGGAGCATTCAAATCATGTGCATCAAGCTTGTAATAGATAAAGTGGCTTTGAGGACCCTGAAGAAATGTTGTGAGGAAATCTGCAAGCTAATTGCATGAGTTAATGATCTCAGATTCTCAATGGTGTTTTCCTTGGAAATAACTTTTTCTTGGACAAAGTGATAATCAAATTCTATAAGTTTGGTCTATTGAAAGAAAATATTTGTGGCAATATGTATTAGCTGCTGATATATTGCAATATATTTTCATATGATCAACATTTGCGCACTTTAACTCATGAAGAAACTGTTCTGCTCATATAAATTCTCAAGTGATTATTGCTATGGGTCAATATTCAGCCTGCACAAATTGGTATGACTAAGTTTTTAGTTTCACAAGATTTGAAATCATTTTCTGAGCCTCGACGTGTTTGAATTCTTTCTAGAACACATTGGAGTTTGCACAATGAGCTTATCTTCTGCCTCCAATTTTATCTTTAAGAGTCATATGACTGATGACACCAACAGATAATATTTGCAGTCCATATTTTTTTAATTACAAGCGTGCTGTTTTGATATTATTACTATTCAAGGATTACTTTTATTTCATTTCATTCTATTTATTGTATTTTACAATAGTAATTGATTTTAAATAGATGATTTTTGTTGAATTGATGCATAATGATGCAAAAACAAAGACGATGACAACAACAACAACCAAGCCTTATCTCACTAGGTGAGGATATAAAAACATAGAAAAGTGAGAAAAAAAGAAAAAAAGAATAGAGATTAAGCATAACTGCAACAGGCCAGGAAAAGAAGTAGGAATAGAGTATGTATAAGGGCATTTCCCAATTAACCTGAAGTCAAATAAGAAAAAAATTGAATCACTTTTGGAACAAACAAAGTTCTTACTAATTAGAATAAAATTAGGACCCTAATTAGTTGGTGCAACTAAACAAGTTCACAATACAACATCTAAGTTGAAATTGAAAGTCCCAAAACTTTCTCATACATTATATATCTAACCTTGTTAGGTTTTTTAAGTAACTTGAGATTAAGCACAATGAATGGGTATTTTTGAATAAAATATGCAGCTATGATTTTAGTTGGAAACTTTTCTAGTTTCTGTTATGATGGCAATGAGTTAGTAGTTAGTACCTTGAGCTAATTTCTTAGCTTTTCTCCATGTTATTTTCTTTTTAGCTCTGTTAATTTTGTTATATTTCAAAATTTTAGGTCAGAATAACAGAGGATGCTTCTCTGTATGCACTTTGTAGATCATGGTTGAGAAATGGTATACATGAAGAAAGCCAGGTTTGAGTTATATATTGATACTTCCTTCTTTTATAGTTTTGCATTTGCTTCTGAGGTCAATCACGTAATGTGACTTTCAAAATGTTCTTCTGTAATTGTAGTTTGATATTGAATAAATAATGTTAATTGCATGTATGCTTTAATAATTTATAAAAGCAGCATCAACTAATGCCAAACTTTTTCCGTAAGTAAATTCCCATTTATAATTTGACATTAGGAGACTTGATGAATATTTTGCTTGTGTGTTACCCTTTTGTGTAGCAAATACTGGATTTGTGGCTAAATAAAGGCGATCCTCCTTGGGGTCATGCTTTACTTGTGGAATTTGAATAAAATATATTGTTTTTTAAAAAACTGTACAAAATGATTAATTGGTCATAATTCTATGAAGATGCATGATATTTTCTATCATTTGACATCTTGGGAATGAGAAAAATAGGTGAATCTTTTAGAATAAGAAGTTAATAGTTTCTTTTGACTTATATGCATCAGGTAATAATGTGTTGCAATGGGGTTTAAATGAGGTTATGAATGAGGGTCATGTTCATCAGGTTACTAGTTCAATTAGAATTTGCAATTGGGGTTTAAAAACTGTGACTAGGATATAGCTTTCCAAGTCAAGTGTGACTTTGAATCTGATGAAACAAGCTAAAATTAACTTATATGGAGCCAAACCATTGGATGAAGCTACTTAGATAATAGATAATTAAAGCCAAAGCTGCTTATCACCAGGATAGCTTTTATTGGTTAGTGAAGTGTTGATCCAAAATGACTCTATAAAGCATGCCTTATGGTTTAATGCAGTTTCTTATCATTTGAATTTACTATGTTTTGTTAAGAAGCTTTAGAACAGATTTCTATCTATTCGCTATTGCTTCTTAACATTAATGGAAAGTTATTTTTTTCTTCTAAGTGGTTTTTCAATCAGCTACATATAATATGAGAAATCTGCTTTCTTCCTTTGTAATTTTCCTATTGTACAGTGTTAGACTGTTAGTCTTTAGAATGTTATTATCAATGACTTGCCTTTGGAGGCTGAATATCTTACAAGTGTCTGTTTATTTTTATGTGTTATTTATTTATCCTTTTATGTTTCCTTATACTTGGCAGCCACAGCAGAAAGATGTAATGAAGGCACTTCCCAAACCATTGCCTGCATCTATGGTGGGTAGTTATATTTCAAACAAAAAAGAAGATGAAAACGGCAAAGAGGAGCAGGAAGAGGTTGGGTTTTCTTGTTAACTAACTATATGAAAGCAGTCAAGTAATATGAAAGTGAAATTATGATTATATATACAAACTAGCCTGTTTTTTTTGACACAACTCGTGTTAAATAGTTTTTGTAGCATAGTGCTGTTTCCTGCAGATTTTTTGGAGCAATGTTTCTGTTGAAATTTAAGCTTGTTAACTTCAATTCTATGTCAAGGTTTCAGTCCTATTAATCCATATCCTATGTTATACACATTGCTGCTTTCAGAATGAGAAGTCTGTTGAGCACTTATCACCACAAGATCTATTGAAGAGACATATTAAACGTGCCAAAAAGGTTAGAGCACGGTAAGTTTTACTTTTCAACTCTCCCTTTCACCTTCTGGTTTATTTATTCATCACTTATGACATATGGTCAGAACAGTACATTTATGAATTGACAATGCATTCTAAGTTGTAACATACAACTACTAAATGGAGTAGATTAACAACAGTTTATGTGAATTTGCGAATCCATATGACTTGTGGTCATAACAACTGAGTTGACAGTGCATATGTTGTAGATTAACCATCCAAGTAATGTGAAATTGTGAGTTCACATTACAACTGTTGTAAATCATTCTAATTCTTGAGTTTTGAAATGGGCTTAAGAATCAAGATTATAGAAGTTCCATGTTGATTGGGTATTAAGGTCAAATGCCTTGAAGTTGCCTTGTAATAACCATTGTGTATAGCATATGAACTTGGCTAAGAGACTCGAAGCCGAAAATGCAACATTTGTGGCATTTCTCCTCTTAAATGCATATCTTTCAGGCCCATAGGAAGCATAACATTACTGCTTACAGTGAAATGAATCTTATACTAACGGGCTGTAAGTCTGTAGCGTTCTCTTTTACATTTGATGATACACATAACCCTCTCTGTCATTTGGTGTTGATCCAATAGATTTATTTCCTTGGCACTTAAATAATTTAAATTTGTAACTTTTATATGGTTAACTTGATTGTTATCCTAGTTGCTGTTAGGCCACCAAATCTAGAAAGGGAGCAATTGTTGGATGGGGCCCAACAAGGGCCAAGGTTTGGCGGGTTTATTCCAGAAAACAGAAAAAGAAAAAACAATTGTTCAGTTAGAGAATGAGAGAGTATATAAAGAGGTGTAATGAATTGTGGGGGTATTAATTTTGGAATCTTTTGGATATCGAATTGGTGTAGGGAATTCATCCCTGGAGGAGCTAAGGCTCTGGATAATTTGGCTAAGAACCTATCAGTTGCAATGTTGAATGATTTTATTTTACCCACTGTTAATGTTAAAACTTCTTTACACTATCACCAAGTTTGACTATTCCAACCACTTCCTGGGAATTTTTATTAATGTAGATGGATGTAAGTGTAAAAGACTGATGATATTGGTTCAAATTTAAATCTGGAAGTGAGTTTGTTCCCTTTTCTTTTGTTTTCCCTAAATCAATGTCTATTTTGGACTTATATCACCTTTCATATGGTGGATGTTGGTGCAAACTGAATTATCTGGAAAATTGGAGTTATGCCCTTTCATATTAACTGTTAACTTATTTTTGTCATAATATTTAAAAATATTAAAATAAATTGTTCTTAAGCGTATTCATCTTGTCTTTGCTTCACTTTTGATTCTGCATTGTTACAGCTGTTTCCATTTTATTATTATTTGCTAGAATGCTTTGTTTTTACCTTTGTGTAGCCTGTGGTTCCAGAAAATGTTATCCCATAGCGATGTTCCTTGCACAAAATTGTAAAACTTGTGGTTTTGGAATACATGCGGGTTTCATATTTTTTTTATGGTAGACCATACTTTAGGATGAAGTAAATTCAATGTATAAACGATGTTGTTATGGCTTGTGTAGTTTACGGGAAGAACGGTTACAACGCATCATGAGGTACAGGAGTAGGCTTAGGCTTTTGCTTCCTCCACCCGTTGAACAGTTTAGAAATGACACAGCTGCTGGGAATTAACCTTTTGCTGATTCTACAGACATGAAGGTTATTGGTTGACTGACTCTAACAGGCTTCTAGTTAAATTCAATATTATGTTTGTGGTTCACTGAAAAGATATCTTCATAGTAGAAAGTTTCAAAATCTAACTAAAATGGGTATATATTTTTCAGCTTTTCTCCTTGATTTCAATTATGGCTGGTCTTTGACCAGGAAATTGGCAATAGCTAGGGTTTGAATGAGTAGCCATGAATCAGAAATCAGTCTGCCTAGACCATTGTTTATCTTGACCGCTGCTGATAGAATGACCAACTCATTTTACGTATGACAAGTCCGTATCCCCTTGGAAGATTGTAAATCTTTCTTTTTTTGGGGAGTTATTTGGACTTATTTTGAAGAAAATTAGTTTTAATCACAAACGTCTTAATTTTTTTTAATTAAAAAAATTCTTAAAATTAGTCGGTCTATAAACATTTAAACACTTACATGTAATGGTTTAACGTTTGACGTCCAACCAGAATGATTTATAGTGTGATTGTTTTTTTTTTTTTGAATTTTCCGAATTATGTTTTTGACGAAGCTATTAGATTCTCTTGTCTGTTTTAGATTGAATTTGAATCATGGAAAAATGTGTTCCGAATTTATGGTTTATGGAAGGACTTGGTGCGCTTATTTATTTTAGAGAAATAGTTCTTTTACTACTATTATAGAGCTTTTGAAAAGTGTACTTTTCATAGGAATTTGGCTTTTTCAAATAAGCACTGAATTCTACTGTTGCACTTAGTCATTTTAGTCATCGTATTCATTGTAACATGGCAATTTAATCCTAATGTTAGGGACTAAATTGATAAAGATTAATTTGGGATAAATTATTGTGGTCCGGAACTACATAGTCCTGGTCACTCACATTTCTATGTGGGTAAAAAATGTTTGTCAGATTATTAGTTGGATTACTATAATCTTGGACTATGGAAAAATTTCTCCAAATTCTCGGACTTCATATTTTCATAAAATCAGCATTTTTTGAAAAAAGTATTGACGATAAAAAAAAAGGCTTGTGTTTGAAGCCCACTCTTTCAGGCGAACCTATTTGTTTTTTCACACTTTTCGATGTTAATCTGTAAACGCTATTCTCTCCCCAAACTGTGCCTAGATTAGAAACGAACATTTCAAAGCCTTCAGTTCATTTTTTTAAATCATTAAAAAGCACAAGGTCATTAAGAATCGTGTCTAGTACTGATCAAACTGAGGTACAGAGAAACAAGTGTAAGTTGAAAATCAAATCGATATACTATGGTTGAGGAAAAAGATGATGAATCCTCCACAACCTATGTATGAATGTCTTGAGTTATTGAATGACAGATTATTGTGTTTGGTCTCGCGTTGTTTAACCATAAACGTAAATACGGGGACGCTACAGTACAAGGCGGGCGTATTTGGTGAGATTAATGTTTATCCAAACATACTGTTAATGGTGGATTCAAGATAATGATTTGTTCTAGGTAGAAGGATGTCACTAGTCGATCAAGTTAAAAATAAAATGTATATTTGTGATAAAGGTTATGACAAGCAATTTTGATTTATATCAACATTCATTCGACACCTTTAACCTTTTTGCATCTCTTTCTTATTTTTTACCTCTCTAGAGTGTATACACCTAAAGAGGTGTCTTTGTAACATTTTTGATTGACAAGATGGAGTATGAGGGCTTGGAGATAACAATGAATCTTCATCAGTGATTATTTTGTAAAGGTAATGACAGATCAATTCTTCATCACACGGATAGAATTGAAAGGAAGTAAAGAAGCACCAATGTTTGATTTTGCTGGTGAAGGAGAAATGAAAATGCTTGGGACAGTGGAGGATGTAGGCAACCCACAAATCACATCAAGAAATATGAAGAGTGAAGGTTGCCGAGTAGGAAGAATAACTTCGCAAGGGAGAAAGATGAGCATCGTATGATTTGCATTTGATACCATGTGCCATCCACCTATAACCCAAATTATATTTCACTTCATTTTTTAGATTTTTACGGATATTATTTTTTATGAAATCGCATTTTGCTTTGTTGATATTATGGACCAAATTGATTGAGGGTTAAATTTAGAGATTAAATTGATTGATATCTTCAAAGTTTGGGATTAAATTCTTTTACCAAATTGATTTTTACCGGTGTTTGTAATCTTTGGGATTAATATAAACATTTTATAAATCTGTTGCCTGAATCATATTTTAGTGCTTCTCCAACAGAAATCTACACACTAATTGTCACTTGTTCCCGTTAACTTGTACCACATTTGTTTCTATTTACATATATAGCAAGAAAAAGTTGTATTGATCAAAAAATTTAATAATTTTGTTATAATTGTTTAAAATAATATCTAATTTATCTTTATTAGTGATTCTCTCTTTTACCTTTGACCTATTTAATTAATATAAATTATTTTATTATTAATTTTTATACAGACAAAGATATTAGTAAAAGAATAGTAATTAATAAAAATTTAAACTTTTATAAAGGTAAATATTTTTTAAAAATAAATAAAAATAGTATGTTTTCAAATTGTACGTGCTCCTCCTGGGACCTCCCTCCCCTTCTCCTCCGTTTCAAAAAAGAAAAATAAATAATTAGAAAAAATCGATGGCGTCATTCATCCTTTCTTTTGTACGTGGAAGTGTGAAAGCTCTAATGCTAGCTTAGTCTAAGGTCTAATAACTGTTCAAAATAACATTGACACAAGATTTGTAAGTTTCTAATGATCACTTTTTACCTGGTAAAACCGTAATGGAATTGTTCTCTGTGAAGCATTGTTTGTTTGAATTATTTTATTTTTATCACATTTGACATTATAATGGCATGTAAGTTGACTCTGCTTTAAATAAACAACACATTCACCCTAATTATATTTTATTTTAAATATAATTATTTTTTATTTTACAGACGAATGAGTGGCACCTGCACTGTTGTCCTAATTAATGCCCGTAAAAGTGAATTGACTTATTGCAGTTGTTTGGACTAGTTGCAAATAGAATGAGCTTGACAAATCAAACACGGTATCAACCTCAAAACTTTCCATGGGTCAATAATCACCTTTTTTTATGGCTTTACATGTAAAATACATGAAGTCATTTTCGTTTAGTATATGGAATCTGAATTGGGTTTCTTTTTTGCAGCCATAAATCGTCAACTTGTGGAGGTTGAGATAGGATACGATGGAAATTCAATTCTCATTATTGACAAGAAACAAATCCCACTTATCTCCTAATGTTTACTTTTAATCAAAGACTATGTTTCACCCATGACTCCGCAATTTCTCCACCTTAGCATGCTTGGTCAATTTTTTGTGGTGAATGGAATGGAGGATTCGCCAACTAACCATAATTGAATGGATCAATTTCAAGTGCTGGACATGCAAGCAGAACCTCAAATATTAATATCTTATGGAGAAAAAGTTGTCGAGATTTAGGATAAGGAGTTTCATTAGCATCAAAAGTTTGCCCATACGCACAATTTTTGTAAACAAGGGTCACCCCCTCCCACCAAAGATTTCATCTAATTCTAAAATTAGTATTGTTATAATATCTTTCTATAGATTTTTTTTATTAATTCTCTTAATATTGTATAAAAATGTTAGTAAAAAATATATTTAATATCTTATACACATAAAAGCATTTACGTTTTTTGTTTAGTAAGTAGAAAGATTAATAACAAAATATAATAAGTTTTAGAATTAATCGTGTAACAAAATTTTTTTCATGCTTTGGTCATAGTAGATATAATTATTATACTAATCATGTACCCAATGACACCGTCACCATATAACCACTACCATTTGAATTTTGATTATCCTGTTTAATTCTGTCTGCTTCGATCCAATTTCCACTCTGAATCATTGTTTCTTTCTTTTGGATGTTTTCCTCTAAGATTCAGCGGATAAGAATGAGATTTGAAAGGTGTCTAAAAGTCAAAAAGTGTTTTCAATTTTTTTTAAGTCCCATATCTCAATATTGACTTGGCTCCAATTATTTTTTATTAGGAGTCTACACTACTCGAAGAATAATCTTATCCTAATAGTATAAAATAATTATTAAAATATAATCACAGCATACATTTAATTATTAATTATTATATTATTGAGAATAATTAATTTATAAGTTATATTTATATTATACTATTTTGTTATAAAAAAATTGTTAAAGCCTAAAAAAAACTATAATGTAAAACTTACTTGTTTTAGACACTTTAAAATTAACATAAAAAAATTACTTAAAAATTAGTTCTTTTAGAGTATGATTAACGGAAATATCATAATTTTTGTATAGAAAACTTGGAATCTATTTAATAATTGTATCATACTTATTAAATATAGCACTGTTATTATTAACTAGATAAATTATTTTCATCGATTTGAATAACAATAAAATCTTTTACAACTTTCACTCTAAATCAGAATTCAGCTATTTAAAAAAATAAACAGTTCTATAAAAATACTGTCACAATTTATTAAATAACTATTAAAACTATAAATCTGAAATTAATTATTAAAATCCTTGATGTTAGAATTATTTTAGATACTTTTATATTATATTATATTTTAACAATATAAATTTTTTATATTAACTGTAAATTAAAATTAAATTTACATATTATCGAACAAGTGAACACAAAGTGGTTCTTAAATCTTAATAATGTCATTTGTTAAATATTTAAAAAAACTTTGTTGTATACAGCGATCAAAGATACATGTACAAAGAAAAATAAAAATTATATAAAATACTGTTAATTTAATCCGACAATAAAAATATATTATAACAATTATATATTAAATGAGTCATATTTTATGTCACATCGTTTAAGGATACGGTAACACTTAGGTACCAGAATGTTGTCTCATTACCCTTCTTCAAATATATCATTGCTACTTGCGTGTTAAAGATGGCAGTCGCAACGTGCCATGGAGTTTGGTACCTATATATTATATTATATTATAACGTCATTTGTTTTTGTTGCATTCTAGGGATTCTGTTGTATGCACTAATGGTACCTATATATTATATTATATTATATATTATTAAAACTATTGAAATCATTCAGAAATCCAAGCCACACTCAAAGTCATGATTGAATACAACGGCGTTGTTCAAATTTGATAACCATAAAATAGTTATTTAAATCAAGCGATTAATTAGAATATCCAACGTTTCAAAAACTGTTAGTTGATTATGTTTAACAGGAAAAAGTAAAGCTTAGTTAGGATATTAAACTCCATTATTGATGATTACTTAATCTGGAAGGTACAAACTCCAATGTGGGGGTGTGCTTGCCTGTATATGTATAGTTATT